ATCAGTTGACCTACCTGAAGCAGGTCCTGCAGTGGTTTCAGTTAGTATCAGGACTCAAAATCAACATCGGCAAGTGTGAGATTTTCCCGGTAGGTGTGGTTACTAATATTGATGCCTTGTCTAGTGTTCTCAGATGCAAGGTGGGTTCCCTTCCCACTACTTACCCGGGTCTCCCTTTGGGCGCTTCATATAAGGATACTACGGTTTGGAATCCAGTGATCGAACGGGTTGAAAAAAGATTAGCAGGGTGGCAGAAACGGTATTTGTCAAAAGGAGGTAAGGAAGTGCTTATCAAAAGCACTTTATCGAGTATGCCCACCTATTACTTATCATTGTTTNCACTGTTGCAAGCACCGGTGAGCATCACAGAAAAACTGGAGCGACTTCAAAGGAACTTTCTGTGGGATGCGGCGGATGGAACTAGAAAGTTTCATCTAGTGAATTGGCAGACAGTCACTTCCCCAAAGAAGTGGGGTGGACTTGGAGTGAAAGATCTTAGGGTTTTTAACAGAGCTTTAATGGGAAAGTGGTTGTGGAGATTCGGGGTAGAAGAGCATGCTCTATGGAGGGAGGTCATAATAGAAAAGTACGACTCAACGGGAGGGGGTTGGAGGACCAAGGCGATCACAACACCTTTCGGTTGTGGCATATGGAGGAGTATCATGAAGAATTGGGAAGCATTCAGTGGCAACATCACTTACAGGGTGGGAGATGGAAGGAGAATCAGCTTTTGGAATCATAGGTCACTTACAGGGTGGGAGATGGAAGGAGAATCGGCTTTTGGAATCATAGGTAGTGTGTAGAGGATACTCTCAGGGTCTCCTTCCCCCACGTCTTCATAGTTTCAAACCAGAAAGAACTGATGGTCCAACAGATTCGCAAGGAGCTTGAAGAGGGTAGTATGGGACCTCTCATTCAGGAGGAACATGCAAGATTGGGAGATTGCGGAGCTCCAAGTTTTGTTGGCGCTGCTATACGGGCAAGACAGGCTTCAGCCATCCTGTGACTCTTGGAGATGGGGCTTGCGTGGCGATGGTTTGTTCACCGTAAAGTCCTTTTACCAGAGTATGTTGGTGAGAGAGGAGACCACTTTTCCATAATCCTCGATCTGGATTCCTAGGACGCCCACGAAGATGTGCTTTTTTGCATGCCTAGCGGCAAGGGGAGTGATCTTGACTGCTGAAAATCTCCGAAAGAGGGGAATTACACTTGTTAGTTGGTGCTACATGTGCAAAAGCTCAGGGGAAGAAGTTGATCACCTTATGTTGCATTGCCCTGTGTCCTCTGCTTTGTGGAGGGCAATCCTGAATCTTTTTGGTGTTCAATGGGTGATGCCAAGCACTGTAAAGGAAATGTTACATAGCTGGGGCGGTTTTCGGAGAAGAAGAAAGCAGAAGGTGTGAAAGTTCGCCCCGTTAGCTCTCATGTGGGTAGTATGGGGGGAGAGAAATAAGAGAGCTTTTGAGAAGATTGAGTCTCCTTTTTCACATCTTAAAAATAGTCTTTTATCTTTGATCGCTTTTTGGTGCACTCATTTAGTCCCTAATAGTATAGAAGATTGGGCGTTTTTTGTAGAGAATCATGTTCTGAGGTAAATTCTCTACGTCTTTGGTATACTTCGTGTATACGGGAGTTCTCCCCCTTTTGATTAATACAATTTACCTTATCAAAAAAAAACTCAACCCAAAACCTCTAATTTGACCCTCCCCGCCGACCCATATACATTCCAAAAAGCACCAAAACTTCCCAACGTTTAAATTTTTAGTCGCTGACAAGGCATCCTCGCCTCAGCGAAGCACGCCTTTCTGAAATTTAGAAAAGATTGAAAAATTATCACGAACCTCCCTTATTTTTTCCATGCAATTTCTAAGAGCTGCTATCATGGATTCTCCTTTTTTTTACCTCCGTTACCTCCAATTTTCTCTCGGCCCCGCATTCCCTCAAATCGGAATACCATACTTAATCCACCTCCCTCCTTTTACACTTCTCCTTTTGTCCGTGTGATTCATCCCCTCACATTCCAAAGATACACTCTTACTTTATCCTTTCATTAAAAGTAATGTTGACCAGAATTACTATGCCATCCCTTTCTTTCGAAGGTATATACATTGTGCCAGCAAGTAGAGCATGAGGTTATGAATTACTGTCCACTCACACCCCACTCTAGCATCCAAGGCTGTTATTGGACATCTGTAAATCTACAGACTTTGCGTTTCATAGAAGTCAAGTTGACAAGTTCCTAATAAAAGAAGTCCCAGCTGAAAACTGAAGGAATTAACCTGTTTCATTTTTCATTCATTTTTTTTGAATTATGAGGAGCCAACTAACAATGTTTGCAAGCAAGCTTGAGTTTATCCACAGAAATTTATGGTTTGTCACGGAAAAGAAAATAACCTTTCCCCAGAAAGCCAAACAGTGGCTATTACTTCACATCAACAAATCTTATAGGGCCAGTTAACGCAAAATATAGAAAAAGACAAGACACAGCCTAGGGTTCTGGAAAAAGACAAAAAGTTCCATCACCATCCATGTAAAAACCACCATGCAGAGGGTCAATTTTGACCTAAATTTAGTAAAGGTGTCTTTTTCAACCCAGAAAAAAAATTAAAGTTCCCACATTTCATGACCACGTTTTCATTGACCAAAGTAAAGCCCGACAAGAAGGGGAAAAAATACTGTAACTTTTATATTCAGATTAGCTTGGTATACCTCAACTGTTTCGTCGTATAAAAATAAAATGGTTTTTACTAAAATGACTTACCCATAATCACAAATCATGAGCTCTCCTCCATCTTTACATTCAAAGCACCAATCTTCAGCTATTTCTTCTTTCTTCAATTTCCTGGGCCTGCCCCTCTTCTTCGCCATTGAGGTTCTTTGATATATATAGGCCAAAAGTTTATTACCAGAGACCCACTTCACTGTAATCAAGAAAAGCCACTGGTTTAGTTCAGATAATCAAAATTAGAATGCAGACAGGATGATCTTTTTTTCTTGGTGCAAAAATTTAAAGAAAACAAACCCTTTTAGAAAAAATATAAGAAAAAGCATAAAATTCTAAAGAAATCACAAGAATCATTACCAAAAAAAAAAGATGGAGATTTTTAGACAACTCGCACACCGATTTACCTAGAAAACATGAATGTCGTTTTGATCAACTAAAAGATGTTCACAAGAAAAAAAATCAAAAAAGAAATTAATTAGCTTTACTTGTCTAACCTTCTTCAACAGAAAGCTGATTCTGCTACCATTGGATAGACAATTGGGGGGGAGAAGAGGGATAAAGAGAAAGAGAGATTGTTGTAATAAGGTTTTGAATTGAAGAGAAGAGCCCTATTCAGGAAAGAAGAATCAAGTGGGATTTGGAGAAATCTATGTTAGATTACAACAAAGTTAAGTTACTTCGATAAACAACAGGACAGACGAATTACTGACACACACTAAACAGTTGACAGAAGAATGGATACAATTGTCAGTTTGGAACGAACAACTAAACAATGTCTTTAGTAATTGCTTATTTCTTTTAAAAAGTTAGCTTTTATTTATGCAAAAATAGCCGGTCATATACGTAGATTTTACATTAATTATATATAATTATATACCTATAAATATATAATACATAACTTAAATACATATTATACTTGTACTGACTATCTTTAGTTTAAGTTGTTGGGTAGGCGACTGTTTATGTTAATTTATGTGTGACGGGGCAGGCGGTCCGGTCCGAGTTGAAGAAAAATGTGACCGGTCGATCACCAATCCGGGCCGATACCGGGTTTTGCCAACCGGGTTCGGGCCCATCCGATATTTTATTGAACCGGAACGGTTACGAGCCAAAGGCGTCGGGTCGGGCCGGGTTTTTTTATTATTATTTTTTTTGTATTTTGTATAACTACCGTAATTTATATTAAGATAAAGTAAAAATATAAAACAAAAAAACAATCTTATAAAAAGAGTGTGTGAATAAATGATGCAAAGGCTTTAAAATCCTTATATTTGAATATTTCATTAAGAATTTAAGATAATAGAATATAATAGAAGCATTATCAAAAGACATACACAATACTTTCTTATTAAGATTATAAAATTCAATAACTTCGCAAATAGTAGTACTTATAAAGATAGCAGTATGGCTTTGATCTCATCATATCGATAATACGTTTTTTGCATACAATAATTATTATCTATCCAATGACATGTAATTGTCAAATAATCATTTCCATTTACAACATGTCCAATATCAGAAGTTAGAGAAACTCTACAAGCAAGGTGATCAAACAAATAACGTTTGTATGTCTGATATTATCCACGAAGTCTAAAGATATCAAATCTACAAGTACTTCTAGGGATACCTTTAAATACGGGATTATAAATCCTTTGAATATACATAGTCAGATATGATGAAGAAGCAAAAGAAAAAGGTAGACAACCCAAAGCAATCAATTTTGCTAACTCCTCACGATCCTTCATTTTATCAAATTTCATAAGTCCTCCAGTACTAGGGTTTAGAGTTCCTTGATTTTCATCTAAATCAGAGCTCCATTCTATAGGATGAGTAATTTTCATATGTCTACTAAGTGTTTCACTCCCCCCTAAACTTCCTCCAATCTTATGTTTAAAATCATCTTTACAAAGTTTGCATCTAACTCTATCAGAATTCTCTATTTCATCAAAATATTTCAAAACTTTAATTTTTTTCCTCCGATTAGTAGTCGGAGCCACATGTGGTCTACTACTAATGCCACGACCACCACCCCTGCTACCAAATCCAACACTACTAGGTGTAAGTGGTGTCTCATCTTCAATTTCTAATTCATTATCCGTAGCGACCCGACCAGTTGTTAGGAGTATTTTAACCTCGATCCCCCTAAATTATGGTTTCTTTATACTATATTGTGGTTATGTAACTTGTGTGGATATTTGGTTTGGAGCCCCGAAGGCCCGGGTAAGTTTCGGATGTGTTTGGATTGTACCACACTCTTATTTGATGTTTCGTTTGGTATAAAGGGTACTACATGTAGACATCTAATTTTGATCATCCCCGAAACCTTATACCTTTTTAGTGCTTAGATATTTCTTTAGTTCTAATATTGTTATTTAGTGTTAGTTTTATTCTAATTTAGATGTACACAGTATAAGCAATTAGCACGTAGTATCTTGCTTTTCTCTGAAATTTAGTCTTTTACTATTTTAATATGTACATATTATTTAGTTTTTCCTTTAATAAAATTTGTGACCTCGCGTCATTTTCACAAAAAAAAAAAAAAAAAAAAAAAAAAAAAAAAAAAAAAATCAGAGAGTAGAGAGATAGAGGACGGAGGAAGAGAACACAAACCTTTCAGACATCTCTTCTTTCAATTTCACGCCTCATCTTCAAATCCACAGTCCATCGTCCTAACTCAAATTATGTCACCTTAATATCTAAACCCAACACTCAACATGAAACAAAACCATCGAAACAACATCACATGATAACCTTGAGCCTCTATTTGTATCTCAAAATTCCTCTGGTTCAAAGTTCTATTTGGTCAAGGTTTCGATCCAATATCTGTTGTAAAGATCTATTTCTGGTCAAGCTGTTCTTGGTCTTCTTAGTAATCTGATATTGAAGTGTTGCTGCAAAATATTCAATCCACTTGGAGTTGGATAATCGAGGAAAAGGCCTACTAGTGGATTGAATTAACGCAAGTCGAGTTAAGTGACTTGTCTAACCTTGTGTGGGAGAAATTCTCCTTAGAATTGGTATTGTTATGATAATTGTGATGTATTGAAAGCCGTGTACGCGAGGTGACGAGTGTGTACACGGGCTAAATGTAGAAAATTCTGACTTTAAATTGTGTAGATCTCTGTCACATATTAATTAAATTATTCTATCATGTTATATTCATCATTGTTATTCTATTTTCATATGTCCTACTTGCCTTACCTTTTCTTGTTAATTGTTTTACTTGTTTAGTTGAAGTTTTGTTCCCTTTTATTTTGTGCTCATTATTTGAAGGTTGAATTCCTTAATTGAGTTGTTAAATTATGGAATATCGATTATTGAAATTGGTATTAAAATATAAAAATCGTAAATAATATTAAAATAAAAGTGTTAAATTAATAAATATTATTCTGTTGAGTTGTTCACTCCCGAATATTTTGTTGAGATTTTTGTCTACATTGTGATTGAGCTGTGAGCTCCTTACTATGGGAAATATTATTATTGTTGATTTATTTGGCAAGTCAAAATATTTGGGCACTTGAGGTGCGAATTGTGATATTGATACGCATGCGGTGGTATAAAGTCTAGGTGTTGAAACGCATGCGGTGAGATAAGGTGGGTTGGATACGCGTTGCTAGTAGGGGAACTACTAGAATGCATGTTGTGTGATAAGGTGGGCTAAAACGCGGGATGCTATTTTGGGAAAAATAATTTTTAAAACTAAATGTGAAGGCTTCCGCGGTGATATAAGAAAAGATTATGAAATTATTTATGATTTGAGACTACGAGGCGGTAACTCGGGAGTGACCATGTTGATATTTCTCATTTGGTGTACTTGTCTTTGTTTGTTTTGTTTCCCTTATTATGTAAATTCATCTTCCACTAACTAAAGATTACAGGTCACTCTGCATCGCCAAATTAAAAAAAAGTGATTCCTTAAAATACAGTTAGCAATATTCAAAGGTGACCAGGACGCCATTATACTATATTATGGTTGCTTTGCTTTACACAAGAACTTTAAAAAAATTGAGATATGGAGTGATAAAAGGGGGAAAAGACAAGGAATAAGAAAAACATGCATAAACGTACAACTTTTTCAACATTAGCAGCACAGAATGAGCAGTTTAATTAAAAAAATCAAATAAGTGGTCTTCTTAGTGGACATACTTTTAGCTAAACATATAATTTGTCCCCCTAAAAAAACTATCAACCACCACTCCACTAGCATAAGACAATTAGAGAATACAATACTCTTTCCTCTAACAAATACACACAAATACATATATAGAATAGACCAGTATGTGACCGCCAACTTTGGTACGGGCATAAATACATCGCCTCACTCCCAACACACAATTAGATACCTTTTTATTATTATTATTATTATTATTATTATTATTATTATTATTATTATTATTATTATTATTATTATTATTATTGTTATTACTATTATTGTTATTATTGTTATTCTTGTTATTTTTATACATTGTTAAATCTATTGCCATGTTCCTTATTATTTATTTTCAGTAGGGCTCTAACTTGACCTCGTCACTACTCTACCGAGGTGAGGCTTAGCACTTACTGGGTACCGCTGTGGTGTACTCATACTACGCTTCTGCATATATTTTTGTGCAGATCCGGGTACTTCTTACGAGATCAGGTATCAGTAAGCTAGCAGTACGTAGAGACTTCAAGGTATATCTGCCAGCGTCCACATACCTCGGAGTCCCCCCTCTATATTTATTATGTTGTTCCCTTATCTTCATTAGACTTTGATGTATAGATATATTCGAAATAAATTCTTAGAGCTTGTGACTTGTATTTTCGCCGGGTTTTGAAAAAACTCTATATGTACTAAGTTGTTAAGTTTTAATAGTATTTATGATTATTTTAATTATTTTGCATGTTGATAGGTTGACCTAGTCTTAGAGACTAGGTGCCGTCACGATATCCTACGGAGGAAAAAATTGGGTCTTGACAAGTTGGTATTAGAGCATTAGGTTCATAGGTATTATGAGTCACAAGCATGTTTAGTAGAGTCTCGCGGATCGGTATGGAGATGTATGTACTTATCTTCGGGAGGCTATGGAACTATTAGGAAGCTTTATTTCTTTGATCCCTTATCGTGCGAATTTACTGAATTCAAAATTCTAAATCTATGTCTTTCTATTCTCTCACATATGGTGAGGACATGCACAACTGGATCATATGATCACACACTCGCACCTCATGTTAGAGCCGTGAGAGGCCGGGGCCAGGGCAGAGGCTGAGTTAGAGGCCGAGGACGACTACGTAGTGCAACCAGAACACCTGCACGAGCTGCTTCAAAGGAGCCATCGATAACTCTAGTTGGAGAGCATGCACCTGAGACGCTTGTTACTACCTCTACACTTCAAGAGACTCTTACCCAGTTTGTGAGCATGTGTTGGTACTCTAGCTCAGGCAGGGTTGATTCCACTTGCTCCTACCATATCTCAGGCTGGGGAGGAGCACAGACTCCCGTTGCCCGTACCCCAGAGCCATGGTTCCAGGTTGACCATGTTCCAGGGGTCATACCTGTACAACCGGTTGTCCCGGTACAACCCGAGATTAGAGGAGTAGTTTATGAGGGGGAGCAGCTCAGGCTCGAGAGGTACAAGAGGTACCACCCTCCTACTTTTAGCGGATTGGCGTCAGAGGAAGCCCAAGGTTTTCTTGAGGAGTGCCACTTTATCCTTCGTATTATGGGTATTGTGGAGTCTAGTAGGGTTTCTTTCACTGTGTTCCAGCTTAAGGGAGCGACTTA